AAGTAACCCTCCTTGGTTTCCTGTCTAACTTCTCTAGAACACCATGGATAAAGTAAAAGGCTAAAAGGGAGATGCATAAAGTTAGGAACTAGAAAAGCTGGCAAAGGCACTTCTTCAAAAGTGCATTAGAAGTTAGTCAAAAAGGCCAGGTGCGGTGGCTCAGGCCTATAATCCTAGCACTTTGGGAGGCCAAGGCAGGCGGATCACCTGCAGTCAGGAGTTCGAGACCAGCCTGGCCAACACGGTGAAACCCCGTCTCTACTAAAAATCCAAAAATTAGCCGGGTGTGTGGCACGTGCCTATAATTTCAGCTACCCGGGAGGCTGAGGCAAAAGAATCACTGGAACCTAGGAGGCAGAGGCTGCAGTGAGCCGAGATCGCACCACAGAGCACAGAGCGAGACTCCTTCTCAAGTTGGCCCATGTCCACAGATGTATATGTGCGCCATTTGCATATGTCTTTCTATGAACACAATAGGAACAGGATTGTTTTATGATGCTGCTAACATTCACAGACAGGACCCGCAGCCACATTTCAGGTTATGATGCCTACAGGTATGTCTGGGAGGATGTGAACCAGTGCCATGGAAGCCATGTACTAGCAGGTGGTGACATAAAGGGCTCCATCGTATATGCTACAAACATTTCACCCTGACAAGTCAATCAGTGTCAGGAGCAGGGAAGAAGGTGGTTCCTGAAGAAAAGGTAAATCTGCCAAATCTGCCTCCAAAACAATTAAAAAGCAAAAACCAGCCACCACCAAGAACTCCTCTGGGTCCCTAAACCTTGAAGTCATCACAGACCAGAAAGAAACCAAACTTATAAATGATAGGCTCAGAATTGTGGAAACATTCCTTTGCAGCTGCAGAGCCTGTAAATGAGCTTTAAAAAAAAAAAAGTTTCAGTCTTGAAATGACATTTGAAAGGTAGTATATAAATTGCTTCCTCTCTTCAGTGCACCCCCTTTTTCCTCATTCTCCATTCACTAATGAAAGACTTTTCCTCTTCTCCTGCCTGTTTCAATTTGAAACGTGGCACAGAACGGGACACTGGAAGGAGAAGGGAAGGTGGGGGGAGGTGGCTACTTTCAAATCTGACACACATACCCTCCAACCGGCTGTCCATACCCTGGTTGACGGTCAGGCCAGACTCCACCTAAGACAGGACTGAAGGACCAAAGAGTAGAGTAGAAACTCCCCCTCGTGCCACCTCTCCCAAAAGCAGACTTAACGGTGGAAAGGAAGGAGGGGGAAAATAAAGTTCCACATTCCTGACATTTTTTAGCCAAGTGCTGTGGCCGCACAGAGCAGCTTCTCTATTCCAAGCAGCCTCTAGGACTGGGAGAAAACCTGGGTTCAGGGAGGGAAAGCTGCCCCCTGCCTTTGAAACAGGATGGCTCAAAACTAAACCAAAATTGGGGTAGTGATAGGGGTGGGCGGTGAGAGCAGAGACAGCCTTTCATGTGTGTTCCCAAAAGGAAATTATCCCAAGGGAAAGAATTTAGAGTCATCATCTCCCTGGGGACAGAGAACTAGTAAGCCCTGGGGTCCCTAACAGGGAAACAGAAGCCCCCTGAATGCAGAAGAGGTGACCAGTGAGTTGGGGAAAGAGCAAGGCAGGGATGCAATGCAGACACAAGCGCTGTGGCCGCCTGGGGTGTGGGCTGACAGCGGGAGAGGGACCCAGCCCATTAGCAGACGCAGGTCAGAGGACCCCAGAGGGAGGAATGGCCAAGAAAGTCGCTCTTTGTGGGAAGAATTATAATTGAGTTTTCCTGGCTCAGCTTCTGAATGAAGGCATCCTAGCTGGGGCCAAGTCAGAACCCCAAGAGCCTATGTCCTCTCAGCCATTTCTCCCATTCCCCTTGTACCTCTTCCTGTCGTCACTTCTAGGAAAAGGGTGATGAGTCCCCACTTGCACCTACCATCCCACCATATGCATTCCTACATACCCACACATGCACACCACACACTTCCAGAGGGAAACCCAGAAGATTCTAAGGGATATCCAGCCAGTCTTGTGCTGGGTTATGAGGCGTCTCCCCCTGCTTTACTCTGAGTATGACGATGCCCATATTTGTTTCTCTGTGGTACCTACAGTATCCAGGACGCTTCTGATCTTATGTGATAGAGGCCGCAGTTCCAAACTCCCCCTCCCCACCAAAAGGAACACTTATCTCTGTGGAGAGTTAGTCAGTAGGTAAAGACAGTGAGGCCGCCCGCCATGTGCCCGGCACAAAAGAACACAAGACCTTCTTACTGGAGGCTTAGGGCAAAGCCCTCTTTCTCCCAGAGAAGCACAGACTGATGATCTCACAAAGTACCTCCAAAAGAAGGAGACAGCTGCCCTGCAGGTCCTGTAGGTTCAAGGTGCTATGGGAACAAGCGATGGGGTTGGCAGGAAAAGGGGGCCTGTAGGCACTTCAACCAGGGGCCTAGGTACATTCCCCAATCCAAGCCTAAGGGGGAGAAAGAGTAGTTTTGTTTGTTTGTTGTTTTTCTCGTCTTGGGCCTTTCTCTTTCACCAGGTACTGGAAGTAAGAGTTCTTAGCACCTTTCAACTTCTAGAGTGGCAGGTTTAATGCACAGGACTTTCCATAAGACTAGAGACGGGGGAACGAGGTAGGTACCAAACTCAAAGCGCTGGCAGCTCTTTCTGAGCAAAGATAAAGCAGGGCCACAAACCCTAACAAATGCTAGAAATACGAAAGAGCCACAGGCTATGTGAGAAACTTGGCCGCTGCAGAGCCTGTGGCTTTGAGGTTTACAGCTGTCACGTGTATCTTTCCAGCCACACCCTCCAAGGCTGGGGACACGCACTTGGAGTCCTCTTAGAATGGAGGACAGCAAACAGACAGGAGAGAACGCACTGGGCAAAGGAAATTCTGTTATTTCGTTAAGCTGTTATTATAATAAATAATCACAGGGCTCCGGGCACAAGAGACTTTTTCATGTTGGTAGATGTTATGGCTTTTGTTGCTGATATGATCTCAGTTAAACCTTACAATCACCCTGTGCGGAAGACCAGTTCTATGAACGTCTTTAATGATGGAGAAACTGAGGCTGCAGTCAGCTTTCAGTCAGACTAGTCACAGAACAGGGACTGAGACACAGGGATATGACTCTGTGTGACACCACACACTTCCAGGGGAGAACCCAGAACAAGGTGGAGCAAGCCTGATCCAATATACCACTAGAGAGAGCTATGAGAGGGAGAGGAAGGACAGAGGGACTGAATTAAAGGAGCACTACCAAAAACTGGAGTGGAGACCCCAGTCCTAGTACCACCGTTTATTTCCTACAGACCCTAAAGCCCAGCCACGGACACATTCATTCATCCAACCCTGACCTGGCCACCACAAGAATGTTCCCAGCTTGAGAGCAGCTTCGCCAGCCAGTTAGGGCCCTTGTCATTCATAGAGATACAGGGAACCCGGAGAGGGACAGGGAAGGAAATTTAGCCAGGCAAGCCATCCTCCATCTCCGAGGAAGTTTGTAAATGATCACAGCTTCCTAACCCAACCATGAGAATGCAAGAAGCAACCTGGCCCAGAAGGGAGGACAAGGAGTCTCAGGAACCAGAGAAGACAGCGGTGAGAGTGAGGGGAATGTCGCTCATATATCTCACTTCTGAGACAAGATATACCGCAACAAACCCATGCCAACCTTCCTCCAGTTCTTCCCACTTTTGACTATCACATTTTTCTTGCTCTGCAAGAGTAGGGAATCCTTCCCATCAGTCTTGTGAATTCTGACCCCCTGCTGGCTTTCTACAACTCCCTGCCTGGGAGGCCAACACCAGGACATTGCTGTCGGGGTGGGATCCCCATCCTCTGCCCACCACTCCTACACTATAAGAGAATCAACTTCCCCAAAAAGTGGAGGGTATCCCTGTCTCTCTTCTTGTCTCTGTAAAGGGGGTGAAGCTCTGGGTCGCCGCAGATGTATCTAAAGGGACAGTCCACGGAGTGGTCAAGGATATCCAAAAACTGGCCTTCTAGAGCACAGCAAAAAAGTGGGAGCGAGAGGAGCGCAGAAGGCCACTGCTGGGATGGGGCCAGGGCCACACGTGAACATCCCAGCACGTTCCAGAGCTGAGATGCAAAACACCCAGAAAATCAGATAGGAAGTGGAAAAGGGTCAGGGTCTCTCCTACTGGAAAAGCCCAGAAGAGCTAGTGGCCACCCCTCGGGGGAAGAGGGGATTGTGCAATGACTGCCGGTCTGGGAGTCTCTGGGCTTGGCTCCCGGACTTCAGAAAGGAAACCCCACGCGTCAAGCCAGGGTGGCAGCGCGGCGGTTGGTTCGAGGCCAGGCTGGGGTTTCAGGGCTGCAGACAGAGCTGCAGGATACGGTGAGTCCCCAAGGGAGCGGCAGAGCATGGCATGGCTGGCACGGCGCGGAGCTGAGGGTGCTGTCTGGGCTGTCCGGGGTACAGGCCGGAGGGATACAGTGCACAAAGCTGGGGTGCAGATAACGTACACGGCAGCCAGGAGCCCCAGATCAGAGGAGGGCCCGCTGACCCGCAGGGGTGTGCCGGGTGGCGCACGACAGGGGGCACTGTCCCTCCAGCTCCCTCCTCCCCAGGCTCTCACCTCGAACATAAGCCCGATGAGGACGCAGAGCACCAGGCAGAAGCCGATGTCCGCATGGTTGTGGATGACGAACTCCTGGCTGAAGAGCGGGTAACTTTTCGTCCTCCTGCGGAAAGCCATGGCAGCGGGCGCGCAGCGGCCGGCGGGGCCCGCACCCTGCGCTCACGAACCGCAGCGCAAACTTCTCCAGCCCCGGCCCGGTCCGCCCGCCGGCCCGCCGCCCGCTCTCCCACAGCCGCCCGCCCGCCCAGCGCGGAACAACTTCGGGGCCCGCCCCCTTCCTCCGCCCGCCCCCGCCCCCGCCGCCCGTAACCGCCCCCGGCCGCAGCCCCCGCCCAGCCCGCTGCCCGCACTCGGCGCGCCCGGCCCCGCCCTCCGCGCGCTTAACCCTCTAGCCGCTGGGCACGCGCTGGCGGCCGGGGCGGAGGCGTCCGGGGGCGGCGAGCGGGACCCGGCTCCTCCTCGTCCCGCGCCAGCGCCGCGCCCGGCCGCATTCTCGGGGCCGGGGGCTCGGCCGCTCACGGCGGAGAAAGCAGGCCGCGGAGGAGGCGGGCGCCCGGGCCTGCCCGGACAGGAAGTGGGCCCAGGTTTCCCATTCCTCGCTCTGCTCCTTCCTCCGCGGCAAGGGCAGGCCCAGGAGGCAGCGAGCGCCCCGGGGGTGGCCGGGCAGCCGGATGCTCTCGGGGTTGCGGGCTGTGGCCCTGGGGGTTGAGGGCAGCGCGGGTGCGGCGGAAGCAGGGACGCTGCGAACCGGCCTTTTCGCTGGCCACAGCGCCCTGCACGGACGATCAGTGAATGGAGATTACTCAAGTATTTATCGAGAACTTGCAGTGGGCTAGGCACGGTTCAGGTTGTGTGAATGCGCAGATCAACACACCGAAAGACCCTGCCTTAGGGGAGCTTTCCCTCCAATGCGGGGAGAGGGTGGATGATTGCAGTTTTGCCCAGTAACTTTTGGGAACCTCACGCCACCATTAATTAGCTACACACATCTCACCGAAAGTCTACCTTACATATTAATCAGAAGAAGCAAAAAAGGAAGGCACTTTCTCATTGAAAGTTTCTATTTAATATTGTCTTAAAAGTACTCCTGGAAGGACAAAAGGTGTTTTTAATAAATTAATTTATATTCTCAAATATTGGATTTAATCCTACCAGTAATGAAGGAGTCGGTTACTTTCTAGATGTGCAGAAATTACTTAATGAACAAAAAACTAATTCCTATTCCATTTTTTATTAGGTCCACAGTTGTTTCACTTCTGAGTAAATATGATTTTTTAAAAGTGGCACGGGGTGGAATGTAATTGAGAAAGGATGGAGTTCCTAGAGAAATTTTACTTTCTCAATTTACACTCCACCTTACTTAGCATACAGTCTTGGGTCTGTAATTCCCTTATCTGACTCTCAAGGAAATGAAAAAGTAGTGCCTAGATTGGACTAAACCTCATTTAACTTCAAGACTGACCTTTCTCAAAGTTGAACCTTCGTCTTGTGAGGAACAGAAAAGATCAAGAATTGTGAAGCACCTCGATTTTCCAGCTGTGAAGATGTGTTCAAATTTTCAACATGCGGCCACATCTATGAGGTTGAACTTTATACAATTGGTTTATTTATAGGTTCAGATGGTTGAATTTAACAGTTACCCCCACCGCTGCTATTATTATTATTATTATTATTATTTTGAGACAGAGTCTTAACTCTGTCGCCCAGGCAGGAGTGCAGTGGCTCATTGCAACCTCTGCCTCCCGGCTTCAAGCAATTCTCATACCTCAGCCTGTAGCTGGAACTACAGGTGTGTGCCACCACACATGGCTAATTTTCGTATTTTTTAGTAGAGATGGGGGTTTCACCATGTTGGCCAGGCTGGTCTCAAACTCCTGACCGCAAGTGATCCGCCGTTTTTTGAGACGGATTCTCTATTGCCCAAGCTGAAGTGCAGTGACGCCATCTGGCTCACTGGAACCTCCTCCTTCCAGGTTCAAGCAATTCTCCTGCTTCAGCCTCCCTAGTAGCTGAGATTACAGGTGCCCTCCACTACCCCCTGTTAATTTTTGTATTTTTACTAGAGACAGGGTTTCACCATGTTAGCCAGGCTAGTGTCGAACTCCTGACCTTCAGTGATCTGCCCGTCTGGGCCTCCCAAATTGCTGAGATTACAGGCCACTGCACCCGGCCTTTTGCTACACTACACTACACTACACTACACTACTATACTATACTATGGGCAGCACAGTAGGTTTGTTTACACCAGCATCACCAGAAACACGTGGTTAATGCATTGCCCTACCGTGTTACAGTGGCTATGACATCACTAGGTGATAGGAAATTTTCAGCTCCATTGCAGTCTTGTGGAACAACTATTATATATATTGTTTGACCAGAACATCATTACATGGCATATGAGTGTATGTCCTCCAGTTTTTCGATATTCCTCCTGTCAAAAAGAGGCAATTCATTCCCCTCCCCTTGAGTGTGGGCTGGACTTAGTGGCTCACTCCTAACAGATAGAATATAGCGTAAGTTATGGTATGTGACTTCCAAGACTAGGCCAGAAGAGGCATTTGGGGTTTCTGCTTTCCTTCTCTCAGGTCACTCCCTCTGGAGGAAACCAGCTGCCACTTTGTGAGGATACTCATAGTCCTGTGGAGGCATATCCTCCATATGGCTAAGGCCTCCTGCCAACAACCATCACTGACTTGCCAGGCATGAGTGTGCCACCTTGGAAGCAGATTTTCCAGCCCCAGTCAAGCCTTCAGATGACATCAGCTGCTGCTAATCTCTTGACTACAACCTCATGAGAGACCCTGAGCCAGAACTAGCCAGGTAAGCCACTCCTGGATTCCTGACCCACTGCACCTGGAAGAGAATAAATATTTGCTATTTTAAACCACTAAATTTTACTGTAATTTCTTATACAGCAAGAAGTAGTTAATACTGCTAAGCTTACAATCTTTTAGAATAGACTCAGACATCATTACAATTCAGTGTGATGCTGGTGACTCTTAAGAATAACCTGAAATATACACACTCTGAGTACAAGCAAAAAGTAACTTAATTCTGTCTGGGGGTGTGGGGAGGAGGTCATTTGGGCTGGGCCTTTACCTGACAGATTGTACTGTCAGAGAATGCAGAAAAGGTGTGGTAGATGAATTTGGAGAGTTAAGACAGAGCTGGATTGTGGCAGGTTTTGCATACTGTGATAAAGAATTGTGACTTTATTCTGCAAACAATGGGAAGGAATGGAAAGTTGGTGCTTTTCGTTTGTTTGTTTTTGAGATGGAGTTTCGCCTTTGTTGCCCAGCCTGCAGTGCAATGGCAGCATCTCTGCTCACCGCAACCTCCGCCTCCCGGGTTCAAGCAATTCTCCTGCCTCAGTCTCCCGAGTAGCTGGGATTACAGGCATGTGCCACCACGCCCGGCTAATTTTGTATTTTTAGTAGAGACAGGGTTTCTCCATGTTGGTCAGGCTGGTCTTGAACTCCCGACCTCAGGTGATCCACCCGCCTCAGCCTCCCAAAGTGCTGAGATTACAGGCGTGAACTACTGCACCCGGCAAGAAATGGAAAGCTTTTAAGCATGACCAGATCTGTCTTTAGAGAAGAACTATCAGGACTATGGAAGACCATCCTGATTTAAACAGGAAGACCACTTTGGAAACTATTATTAACAGTCCAGTAAAGTAATGAATACTTCTCTCTTTTTTTTTTTTTTTTTTTTTTTGAGACGGAGTCTTGCTCTGTTGCCCAGGCTGGAGTGCAGTGGCCGGATCTCGGCTCACTGCAAGCTCCGCCTCCCGGGTTCACGCCATTCTCCTGCCTCAGCCTCCCTAGTTTTTTGTATTTTTTAGTAGAGACGGGGTTTCACCGTGTTAGCCAGGATGGTCTCGATCTCCTGACCTCGTGATCTGCCCGTCTCGGCCTCCCAAAGTGCTGGGATTACAGGCTTGAGCCACCGCACCCTCGGCCCTCTCTCTTTTTTTTTTGAGACAGGGTCTCTGTCACCCAGGCTGGAGTACAGTGATGCAATCACGGCTCACTGCAGCCCCAACCTCCTGGGCTTAAGTGGTCTTCCTGCCTCAACTTCCGAGTAGCTGCAACTACAAGTGCACACCACCATGCCTGGCTAATTTTTATTTTTTTTTTAGAGACAGGGTCTCCCTATGTTGCCTAGGCTGGTCTCGAACTCCTGGGCTCAAGTGATCCTCCTGCCTCTACCTCCCAAAGTACTGGGATTACAGGCATGATCCACTGTGTCTGACTAGCACTTCTCAAAAAACAGTAGCAGTAAGAATAAAAGGGAGTTGAATGAATCAGAACTTGCATCTGGGATGACAGAAATGATGGTGGGACCATTAAAAAATTTATTCGGAATAGCAGATAAAGAGCATGTTTAAGGGAGGAGAAGAAGGTGGCCTCCACTTTGAGCAAGCTGAGGTTGAGGAGCCATGGAACACTTTGACAGCTCAGTTGGAAACTGTTGGATTGAATTTGGGGAGGGAAAATCACAACTAAAGTATTTTCAGTTCATCTTCAGTAGGACTGTTGAAGTCATCAGGTGACATGAGTGTTCCTGAGAGAATGAGAAAAAGTCTGAGGTCAGCAGAATCCTGGTGAACCCCGACACTCAGAATGGGAGAAGATGAGGAAATGGAAAGGGTGGCGTAGACGAAGCCACGACATAAGAATTTCATTAAGGACGGGTTGAATCAGGCAGAACGAGAATGAGATGAAGCCCCTAGATTCAGCCATCCTGGCTTTTAGAGACCACTTAATTGAACATTGGAGTGGGCTTAACAGTAGGTAGAAGTTGAGAAAAGGAGGTGGGTAAAAAGGTCTATTTGTAAAAAAAAAAAAATGTTTTGTGAGAAAAAGAGAAATGGATGGTGTTTTGAGGGCTATGGAAGATCTAAGGAAGGATCTTTAAATTATATTTAATTTTTGAGATTGGAACATATTTGGAGACAGAGAGGAAAAACCAGGAGACAGGGAAATACTGAAAATACTTGAGATACAGGAGATCAGTGATGAAACCGAGGAGGAGACCGGAGGGTGGCTCCAGCAATAGGAACAAAAGGGAAAACTCTCCTGACAAGGATCAGGGACCTAAAAATGGGTGAATACAGTTCCATCTGGATGTGGAGGAAATAACAACCCCTTACATTTATATTGCACTTTCCAGTCACCCTGTGAAGGAGGTAAGACAGTTATTACCAGCCCTTTCTTGTAGCTGTTCTGAGACATGACTGACCAAGGGCCACATAATGAGTAGGTAGCTGAAGCTGGACTCAGACCAGCCAGTCAGGCTCTCAGCACAGGGTTCCCTTTGCTGGACCATACTTCAGCCCGCTCAGGCTTCCTAAAGCACAGCACTGTAAGGCAGACACTACCTCTCCCTCTCTACCTATCTAGTCATGGCTGCCGACAATTCGGCTGTATCAATTTTTTTTTTTTTTTTTTTGAGACAGAGCCTTGCTGTGTCACCCAGGCTGGAGTGCAGTGGCATGATCTTGGCTCACTGCAACCTCTGCCTCCTGGGTTCAAGTATCCAAAAAGAACCTGGGATTACAAGCATGTGCCACCATGCCTGGCTAATTTTTGTATTCTAGTAGAGATAGGGTTTTGCCATGTTGGTCAGGCTGGTCTTGAACTCCTGGCATCAAGGGATCTGCCCACCTTAGCCTCCCAAAGTGCTGGGATTACAGGCATGGGCCACTGCAACCGGCCTCAACTCTTAACTAAATTAGATTACTCCCTTTTTAAAAAACAGAACTTATGGTTTCCAATCCCTATGTCTGTGTGTTTTTGTTCACCTCTCAATGTTAACCACCTTTCAAAACAAAGAGTGTGCACCTCTTCTATCACTAAGCTTCATGGCATTAGTCTGGGGGCATTGACACAGCAATTTGTGTGTAGCTATCAGCTAGGACCAGGTCCTCCTGCAATCGGTATGTTTGTCTATGAGTTTTACCCCTCATTACATAGTGCAGTCCTTCAAGGCATGAATCCTGCCATGGAGTACTGTCATAGTCCAACAGCATAAAGCACAAGAGTCCCACATCTTATGTTCTCATCAGATATTGGTTGAATGCATGATTGAATGAGAGATGCTGTTGCTGTGGGCTGTGTAAGAATGACCACTATCCCCAACCTTATCTACTTGGAGCACAGCATGCTTTTGTGTTGATGAATTCTTTCCAGTAGCTGTCCTTTCCCCAAAGTGGAAAATATATTTTCTCACGTAACAAGAAGCCCAGACTTAGTTCATTCCTAGGGATAAGTAATGCATCAAAGACCAGGATCTCACTATCCACCCACTTTGAAACTTGTTTGCTTTTGTTTCAGGCTTACCCCTCATGGTTACAAAGTGGCTGCAACAGCTCCAGGTATTCTATCCTTTAACACAGAATAACTCAAACAACAAGACCCAAAATTCAGACAAGAAGGAAAGGGACTTTTGAAGAGTGAAGAAAACTTTCCTAGAAACCTCAGACTTCTCCTCATGCCTTATTGACCAGATTGTATCTCATGCCCATTTCTAAACCAATCGTTGGCAAAGTGAATGGTATTGATGTGATTAGATTAACTTTACCAAGAATGCATCCTCAGAGAGGCTGAGAAAAAGTCCAGCCTCCTTTGAAGAGCCTGGCTACCTTTTACCTGAACAAAACAAGAACTCTGATGAAAAGAAAAATGGAGAATTTATGTGGAGCAGGCATCCAGAGTGTCTATGCCAGGATTTTTTTTTTTTCAGTGCATTTCACCAGTTATATTTTTATCTAAATCTTTACCTTACAAGATATGTGGCACATTTGCCTAAAACAAGCCTTGCTTTCTGATTTCTGTGCACTCGGCACTTAAACCTTGCAAATGTCATTTACCTAACAGTCACTGTCAAGGAGTACCTGGCTAAAGAATCTCCAGCTAGACAAAGTAGAAGTATCTGTGCTCTGGCAGTTGAATATATTGTATCAGGCTCAACAGCAGCTTTCACCAAAGGATGAGACTTCACAACCATTAGATCTTCTTTTATTTTGTTTTTATTTAAAAAAAATTTTAACACACCATTGCTACCTTGAGGCCATTAGATCTTCTTACCCCCAATACCACAAAAATTTAGTGGAATCAGGGGTATATCAAGACAAGTGGAGTAGGGGAGCTGGAAGCGGTCAGCCCCCAGGGCAGGCAATGAGGGATTGTGAATTTGGAAAGAATTTTAAAGCAGTGATACAGCTCTAAATGCAATGTACTATCCTGGACTTAGCTCTGGAAGAGAAAAAACATATTAGTGGAAAAACTGATAAAATTCAAATAAAGTCTGTAGTTTGGTTAATAGTATTGTACCAATGTTAATTTCTGTTTTGATAAATGTACCATGGTTATGTAAGCTGGATGAAAGATATGTGGGAAATCTCTCTACTATTTCTGCAATTCTCCTGTAAACCTAAAAATATTTCAAAATAAAAGATTTAATGTTAAAATTGACTGAAAATTGATCCGCTTTTTTATTATCACCGTGTGCTGCACATGCTAAACAATTTTAGGAATAAAATACTTCCTCCCCTCCTCCAAATCTTTCGGTCTAAGTTCTAAACAATTGCTGTTTAGAATCTTAATAATATGTATGTAAATTTCAACTTAGCATATTTTTATTATTTATCTTTTAATGAACTTTGCAGGCTGGGTGCAGTGACTCATGCCTGCAATCCCAGCACTTTGGGAGGCCAAGGACAGAGGATTGCTTGAGCTCAAGATTTCAAGACCAGCCTGGGCAACATAGCAAGACCTCATCTCTACTGAAAAAAAAAAAAAAATTAGCCAGGCATGGTGGCATGCACCTGTAGTTCCAGCTACTGGGGGAGGGGGGTGCTGAGGCAGAAGGATAGCTTGACCCAGGTGGTTAAGGCTACAGTGAGCCATCACTGTACCTCTGCACTCCTGTCCGGGTGACAAAGTGAGACCCTGTCTCAAAAAACTAAAAAAAAAATTAAACATTGCATTCTACATGCAAGTTAATCCTAGAAACTCATGTACCCAATCAGCCTCTGATGTGTGCAGTGTCAGGTACACATATTTGTTCATACCCTATTGGAATCATCTGAGTTTGTTTGGGACACAGTTCACTTCTCCAATCTGGTACTACAGATTCTTGTGTTTAAACTAAAAATTTCAAACGGTGATAGCATGGCGATTGTAAAGACAAAGAAACAGGACTGGTTACTTTAATTCTGTCATTCTACATGACCACTTGAACCTTTTATTTGTGTTTAAAACTTAAGCTAGTGAAATAGAGGGCATAATGCCAATACTATCATTTGTTTCATGGCATGCAGTGTGTGTGTGTGTGTGTGTGTGTGTGTGTGTGTGTGTGTGTGTGTGTGTGGCATTCTTTTCATTTTCATTGAGAGGAGCAAGGGGTTAAAAATGATCTGCTCCAGGGCTGGGCATGTTGGCTTATGCCTGTAATCCCAGCACTTTGGAAGGCCAAGGCAGGAGGGTCACTTGAGCCCAGGAGTTTGAGAATCACCTGGGCAATATAGGGAGACACCCCATCTCTACAAAAAAAAAAAAAAAAATTAAGAAAAAAAATCTCCTCCTGGCATCAAATATGCTAAATATAAGAGTGAATGCAATTAAGATTTGAGGTATTAGAAACTACCTTAGGGCTGGGCACGGTGGCTCATGCCTGTAATCCCAGCATTTTGAGAGGCCGAGGCAGGTGGATCACCTGAGGTTCGAGACCAGCCTGGCCCACATATAAGTGAAACCCTGTCTCTACTAAAAATACAAAAACTAGCTGAGTGTGGTGGCACACACCTGTAGTCCCAGCTACTTGGGAAGGTGAGGCAGGAGAATCGCTTGAACCCAGGAGATGGAGGTTGCAGGGAACTACGATTGCTCCACTGTACTCCACCCTGAGCAACAGAGCAAGACTGTGTCTCTCAAAAAAGAAAAAAAGAAACTACCTTAAACATTATAGATCCACTTTCTCACTTTAGAGGCAAAGAAAGGAAGGCTCAGATCTTGCTGCCATTAGTAAGGATTTCATGAGCAGGGTTGAAAACAGGCCCCCCTCCCTCCTGGTCTGTTGCTCCCAGCACTGCCTCTGAACCCTATGCCTGTTCTCCTTTAGCAGACAGGCGATAACTCAGAAAAACCAAGTCCCTTGTCCAATGGCCACGAGTGACTCAGTGGCAGAGTAGGCGTGGGAACCAGGACTCCTGACAGCTCCAGGGCTCTGACCACTGCGCCCAGTTTCCCCTTTCCAGCTCTCATTCAGCTAGAGACAGAGCAATTCCCGGCAACTAATGAATGTGCCACCAGACTTTCAGATGGCAAGAGGGGAGCATTGTTAAAAACAGACTTAAAAAAAAAAAAGGACACAACTTGACACTAGACATGAGTAAACTTCAGCCAGAATTCCCACCACCAGAAAAATACTGGGATGTGACATTTGGGAAGCCAGGGAACAATTTCAGGTACTGTTTTCCTCTAATTTGGGAGACATCTTTGTTTTTTGTTGTTGTTGTTGTTGTTTGTTTGTTTGTTTGTTTTTGAGACGGAGTCTCACTCTGTCACCCAGGCTGGAGTGCAGTGGTGCGATCTCAGCTCACTGCAACCTCTACCTCCCGGGTTCTGGTGATTCTCCTGTCCCAGCTTCCTGAGTAGCTGGGATCACAGGTGTGTGCCACCACGCATGGCTAATTTTTGTATTTTTAGTAGAGCTGGGGTTTCACCATGTTGGCCAGGCTGATCTCAAACTCCTGACCTCAGGTGATCCGCCCCCTTCAGTTTCCCAAAGTGCTGGGATTACAGGTGTGAGCCACCGCGCCTGGCCTAATTTGGGAGGCATGTTTGGATGAAAAGTGTATTAGAAACTTAAGCTGCTGACAAATATGCTTATTCCTTAGTTTTTCTTTTCTTTTCTTTTCTTTTTCTTTTCTTTTTTGAGATGGGGTCTCACTCTGTTGCACAGGCTGGAGTGCTGTGGCACGATCACGATTCGCTGCAGCCTTGGCCTCCCAGACTCAAGTGATCCTCCCACTACAGCCTTCCCGGTAGCTGGAACCACAGGCGCATGCCACCATGCCCAGCTAATTTTTAAAATTTTTTTGTAGAGACAAGATTTCACTATGTTGCTCAGGCTGGTCTCAAACTCTTGGGCTCAAGCAATCCTCCCACCTCTGCCTCCCAAAGTGCTAGAATTACAGGTGTGAGCCACTGTGCTGGCCCTTAGTTGTTCTATGTACACAGAGAAAGCAATAATTATCAGAGGGACACTGTTAGGATGCAGTATGCCATCACACTGAGGAAAAGTTCAATAGAAAGAACTCCGTGGAAAGAAGATTTCCATGAGGCAAAACACAACTCATGAACCCCTGTTACTCAACTGCCGTGCCTGCCGTTTCTGAGCAGCTGTCTCCTAGGCCGCAGAGAAACTCAGAAACTATCTTGATTAAAATTAGGCATCTCTCTGTGAACCTTGTTACCAGTCCTTGCAATTCATCCCATCGCTGCTTTTCAGATCACAGCCCAGTGTTCAGGAACCATTCGCTTGTTAATTATCAGGCACAGACAATGCATGCAACTACCAGTGTTCTGCTTTACACAACTCTCTACCACAGTAATTGGTTAGATATGTCCCGCTCCCTGCTGGACTAATAAATGAACTCTAACCACGTGCTTGGAAGGATGATGGATGAGTGAGCAGAGGATAAATGGATGGATAGGTAAATGGATGAGTGATGGATGTGTGGGTGGATGGATGCATGTGTGGATGAGTGGATCGGTGGGTAGTAGGTAGATGGATGAATGGGTGAATGGATGGTTGGTTGTGTAGAAAGGTGGCTGGGTGGATGGATTCATGGACCAAAGTGTGGAAATCTGTACCATTCCATCTTTATGTTGATACCCAAGGTAATTCCATAGTGAAGATGCCCCAAGTGGATTCTGCTTCCAAGTAAAAGATGTTCAGGACCAAAGTTATGTTTAGATTTGGTAGAAGTTTGCCTTGGAGTAGACTTTAAGACCCTGAAAGGCAGGGATCATAGCTTTCCATCTATGAGACAGTAACCATCATTGCCTGCCACAGAGTAGGTACTGAGTAAATATTTGTTGACAAACATGAATGAATGAATTATTTGGAAAACACAAGGACGGGCTCTCCTTGACTCTGAAGTTCAACCCCACATTCTGATTCTTCATGCTTATATAGTTTTAAAATTGTGTTTCTTTATAAATTGGTTAGGCATCCAGAAGTGTCCTGTTATGATGCAAAACATTCTTAGATGTTAAAAATATTAAACCCTTTGCATCTGTTGTCCCTTTGTCAGGAATTGACTGGTCACATTGCTGTCTCCCTGATTCTTTGCTGATGATGTTGGGCATGGGGCAGGTCTGGCGGTTTCTCTGACTGGGCTGAAGGACTTTTGCTGACAAGTAGGAGAGGGTCCTTTACAGTAGGAATCACCACGCCTGCAAGGAAGGACCCAAAGGCTCCCGTCTATCATGATCTCAGCAGCCAACCCCTGCCTACCATGCCTTCTTGGCAATCCTGCTCCTGATTTGAAGGGAATTCCTCACTTTGTTCCATGGGTTTCTGCAAGCTGAGCAGGACACCTAGGTGAGGACAGAAGTGAAAAGAGAAGAGAAAAGGTGAGAGCAAGAAAGGAAACATGAGAAAAAGGGAGACACACAACAGTAAGAAGAGAAGGGAGGAAAGAGAGGGACATGAGCAGGGGATGGGAGAGACAAAAAATAGATTGTATTTGCAGCACAATGCCTCTAGTAATAATATTATCATTATCTTGCCTGAACAGATGTGCAAGGACTCCCATCTACTCATTATCCAACATGAAAATGGAATGCGTTTCTATCAGCCTCATCGGAAATCTTGGCAGATGCTGTCAGAAAGTGTGTGCTATTCCTGAGATGTGATTTTTCAACAGTGTAGACTGTACTATTTGACTAGGGGTGGGAAAAAGAGGAGAGGGAGTTGATTGTGCTTTCATTTGGTTTTGTTTTTAATTTTGAAATTCTTCTCTCCAAGAGGACCTTGCCTTGGACTATGTCCAGCTTTGCTGAATAGCCATGTCTGCATGACCAGTGGTCTGGGGCTGGCCGGCAGTTCCAGGGCCCCACCAAAGCCCAGTGCCAAGGGCCCATTTCTTTGAAATAGTTCCCTCATGGTTCTCACTTCCCCTTACTCCAACATTATTCATAGCTACCATGCCCCTCTATTCCACTTCTGCCCTGACCTCAATGTCTTGCATTGAGACATTTGAAGAGTGTGGTTCAAGGAAAGAGCATGTTTGTTCCCAGCTGAACAAGGCTCAGGGAGACTAGCAGTGCCAGAGACAGGAGTGGGCACCATTCGTCTCTGAATTAAGCCATGCAGTGTGCAAGTTCCCCATGGCAAACACCACCTTTCCCTGGGAAGACAGCCAAGGCCTGGAGCCCCATGTAGGAAATCTCCTGTGAGAGGC